CGGCCTATAGGATATCTGGCCCCTTATCCGGCCTATAGGATATCTGGTCCCTGATCCGGCCTATAGGAAGCCTCCTGGTCTGCAGCTCTACATGCTCCTGCTGGACCTCCAGCTCCTCTGAGGGAATTCAGCTGCTTCTTCCATCCAAATAAAAGTTCAGGCTGTTTTCCAACATGGCGGAACAAGATGTGGAAGCTTCTCCACCGGGAGATGAGATGCAGATGCTCTCATTCCCATGAAATGTTAACCTGGAGCTTCTTCAGCGCAGGTGTCTGTCACTTTTTCTGAGCTATCTAGTGTCGAGGCTCCGAATATGAAACAACAGTACAAAAAACCAACAAAAAGTGTGTCTGAGCTGGAAAACATGGAGGTATATAAACAACTACACGTACACAACAAAGGGAAACCGCCCATTGTCGTGCCATGCTCCAACTGTAACACCTTTTGTGTGTTTGGACTTCATAATCATTCTGAAAAGGCCACTCATCTGACGTAGAAGGAAAACTCCTGTGTGAAGCTCAGATGTTGGTTAAGGTGGAGTTGGGTTGGAAAATGTTCCACATGCCTGCTCATCAGTGTGTTTTTGCTGTGGATAGGGAGGTGCTGTTTACCTGCCACAGGAAATAGAAGCAGAGCGCAATCTCAATGGGAGCGATCCAAACACTGTTGAAGTAAACCACGAAGTCCATGAGCTTCTGCGTGTCGGCGGACACCAGGTTGATGATTTCTCCCAGGGTGCAGCAGCGGCGGGCCGAGCTGCTCATCACCAGACTCTGAGCGGCCAAACAGAGGATTCCTCAGCCCCGCCCAGATAGGGGGTTCCAGACAGTTTTACCGCCCAGAGGAGAGCTCCAGTTCTACAGGCGGCCTGACCCCTACCTTCCTGTAGACCAGGCCCATGACGGCAGTCTTCACTCTCATGCCCACGGTGAAGCAGTGGAACATGTACTGGTGGTGCAGCACCGACTGCAGGCAGGACAGCAGGAAGAGCAGCGCGGCGAACAGGAAGCCCTTCCACACGGCCGCGTCCCGGTC